AAGAATGGAAGGAATAACTGTACATAGATGAGACAAGAATGGAAGGAATAACTGTACATAGATGAGACAAGAATGGAAGGAATAACTGTACATAGATGAGACAAGAATGGAAGGAATAACTGTACATCGATGAGACAAGAATGGAAGGAATAACTGTACATAGATGAGGCAAGAATGGAAGGAATAACTGTACATAGATGAGACAAGAATGGAAGGAATAACTGTACATAGATGAGACAAGAATGGAAGGAATAACTGTACATCGATGAGACAAGAATGGAAGGAATAACTGTACATAGATGAGGCAAGAATGGAAGGAATAACTGTACATAGATGAGACAAGAATGGAAGGAATAACTGTACATAGATGAGACAAGAATGGAAGGCAAATGATCTTTGAAAAGAAAGATGACGAGTACAGGAAATGTGGGAGATTGACAAATTTGTACAAATGAGATGTTTATCATACCAGACGATAGAAATGTGATTAAAAATGCAAGGAAACAGTGTATAGAAATGGTGCGAATGTATGGAAACAATGTATAGAAATGGGTACAAATGTAAGGAAACATTATAGAGAAATGGGTCGAATGTAAGGAAACATTATAAAGAAATGGGTTAAATTTAAGGAAACAGTATAGAGAAATGGGTAGAATGTAAGGAAACTGTATAGAGAAATGGGTACAATGTAAGGAAACAGTATAGAGAAATGGGTACAATGTAAGGAAGCAGTATAGAGAAATGGGTACAATGTAAGAAAACAGTATAGAGAAATGGGTACAATGTAAGAAAACAGTATAGAGAAATGGGTACAATGTAAGGAAACAGTATAGAGAAATGGGTACAATGTAAGGAAACAGTATAGAGAAATGGGTACAATGTAAGGAAACAGTATAGAGAAATTGGTACAATGTAAAGAAACTGTATAGAGAAATGGGTACAATGTAAGGAAACTGTATAGAGAAATGGGTACAATGTAAGGAAACAGTATAGAGAAATAGGTACAATGTAACGAAACAGTATAGAGAAATGGGTACACATGTAAGGAAACAGTATAGAGAAATGGGTACAATGTAAGGAAACAATATAGAGAAATGGGTACAATGTAAGGAAACAGTATAGAGAAATGGGTACAATGTAAGGAAACAGTATAGAGAAATGGGTACAATGTAAGGAAACAGTATAGAGAAATGGGTACAATGTAAGGAAACAGTATAGAGAAATGGGTACAATGTAAGGAAGCAGTATAGAGAAATGGGTACAATGTAAGAAAACAGTATAGAGAAATGGGTACAATGTAAGAAAACAGTATAGAGAAATGGGTACAATGTAAGGAAACAGTATAGAGAAATGGGTACAATGTAAGGAAACAGTATAGAGAAATGGGTACAATGTAAGGAAACAGTATAGAGAAATGGGTACAATGTAAGGAAACAGTATAGAGAAAGGGATACACATGTAAGGAAACAGAGTATAGAACGAATACAGATTTAATAAAAGATGAAGTTTTAAGAGTATAGAAATGCAGTGAAAGATGAAGTTTTAAGAGTATAGAAATGCAGTGAAAGATGAAGTTTTAAGAGTATAGAAATGCAGTGAAAGATGAAGTTTTAAGAGTATAGAAATGCAGTGAAAGATGAAGTTTTAAGAGTATAGAAATGCAGTGAAAGATGAAGTTTTAAGAGTATAGAAATGCAGTGAAAGATGAAGTTTTAAGAGTATAGAAATGCAGTGAAAGATGAAGTTTTAAGAGTATAGAAATGCAGTGAAAGATGAAGTTTTAAGAGTATAGAAATGCAGTGAAAGATGAAGTTTTAAGAGTATAGAAATGCAGTGAAAGATGAAGTTTTAAGAGTATAGAAATGCAGTGAAAGATGAAGTTTTAAGAGTATAGAAATGCAGTGAAAGATGAAGCTTTAAGAGTATAGAAATGCAGTGAAAGATGAAATAGGAGAATAGTACAAAATAGCAATCCCCCCACCCCCACCCCCCCCCACCCCCAAACCTTTTTTCGGCCTAAAAGAAAAACAGTAATGAATAATTAAAGATAAGTATGACGAAACAAGACTACGATAAAGTAATGAAGTACGGATGGTCAGCAAGGGGTGAGAAAGATAAATCAAACGGGGGAGGGGCATGTAGTATGGTCAGGGGGGATGTAGGAGGGTGAGGGGAATGTAGGAGGGTCAAGGGCATATAAGAGGGTGAGGGGCATGTAGGAGGGTCAGGAGCATGTAAGAGGGTGGGGGGAATGTAGGAGGTTCAGGAGAATGTAGGAGGGTCGGGGCTTGTAGGAGGTTGAGAGGCATTTAGGAGGGTCAAGGGCGTGTAGGAAGCCGAGAGGCATTGAGGAGGGTCAGGGGCGTGTAGGAGGGTGAGAGGCATTTAGGAGGGTCAGGGGCGTGTAGGAGGGTGAGAGGCACTTAGGAGGGTCAGGGGCGTGTAGGAGCGGGGTTTACGGCGGCTAGCTCAACTAGACGAATGGGGGGGGGGGGGGG